ATTCATTTCTTTTTGTTTCTACATAGAATAAATATAACAAATGAGTTATAATTAATATACAAGGTGACAATATCTCAATGATATCAGTTATTATATATCATTTTTAGTACCAATGAAAATCATTCAAAAAATTACAGGAACTAAAGTAATATATTTCTCAAACACTTAAGTTCAGTTATTTCCATTTTGTTACATGAATCATAATCCAAACAAAAAAAATGTTTTTCCTTTTACGAATCGCTATGAATTTTGTACATCAATATATCTAACTATAATTTTGTTCGTTTAGAAATGTTGCGTCATTAAAATTTGATAGCATTTAAAAAATAAAATACCATATATATATATTGATCTTTTTAGCTTCTTTACACACATGCCATTCTGTCGGCACATCAAAGCAAATCCTAGAACAAGCTTAAAACATTATTAACGAAATATTAATTTATTTAAGTATTGTAAATGCAACAGAAGTTTGTGTGACAGGATATTTTGCTGTCGGCCTGGGAGTGTTGGAATGAATGCTTACTGTATTATTAAATACATAAGATCGCCAGCGATATTAACTACTTCACAATTTAATTTAGTCATTAGTTCTAACTTAGCATTTGTCCTATATATTATAGGTCGCAATGTATTAACTTTTCCTACTGGCAATGAAATCAGGGATCTCTTTAGAGTACTCCACTGATAAAAAAAATTTTGTTACACTGCTTTTTATTGGTATATTAAAAATTGCAGAATTTTTTAGTATCGGCATTTTAATAACTTAATACTGTGTGTTTTCATAATATAAGGAACTACATATTTTAATAGAAAATTCTGTACAATGGTGGTGTTAACTGTATGTTCACAATAAAATGTGAAATGTAAAATCCTAAAACGGAAATTATTCAATTTTCCTTTTTTTCGTGAAAATAAAGTGAAAGTAGCATTGTAATGTGTTGTAGAGAAATTTTGCAACTACGTGTCAATTACTTCAAATGTCATTATTCGCTTTTAGTCAAATTAAAATGAACATGTAGTCTTCCTCCATTGTAATCTAGGGAAAAATTCTTCAATTTTCAACATACTTGAATCAGTGACACTTGATCCTTGAATATAAGTCAACTTATCACATTAACAACAGTGAAAGGAAAAGAAAAAGAAACAATTGTATGTGCTAACCAAAAACGTATCAGGTGCTTTTGTAACATGTTAAAGATGACTTGAATGATGAAATAATTTTCATTATTTTAATCATGATAGATTCAATAGTATTAAAACATATAAAATGGGATCACTAAAATGGGATGGACTCAACGTCCATCTTCTCTTCTTGTGATTGATGCTGATTAGTTTGTGGTTGACCATCACCTTGACTGTTTTGATTAGTTTTATGATCTTCAGCGTTTTTATCTTTTGATTTGTCCTCCTCTGGAGCCTCGACTTTAGGTTTTGGTTTGTTTAGGATTGGTAATATAATACTATCCAATGACTGGAAAAAAAGCAAGTAAAATTGAAAAACATGTATAAAATTATTTATATACCTGTTATATTTGAAATACCTGTTTCTCAGCACGTATTTGGGCAACAGTAACCGGTGGTGGTTGTGTACGGGCAGTCCCGGCAAGAACTATACGTTTCTCTTCCAACCACGTCCATTTGTCTTGTACGGCTTTCTCAATTTTCTTCACTTCTTCATCTGTTAGATGAGAGTATTTATCATCCTTTCCACTTGGTGCTTTAATATGATCAACATTTTTCTTCGCTAATTGTAACGCTGCCGCTAATTCTTCTAATGCGTGACTCCTGCCTTCGAATTCATGTCGCCTTTCTTTAATTGGTTCGCCTTGTGCCTAGAAATAATAGAAGGTTTCCTTTTTTCCGCAAAAATCCGACATTTCATATATTACATGACCCAACAAAATATCCGTAATTCATGTAAGATATATTTTATAACTTTTGCAAGACTATAGAAATTATTATTTAAAGAATATATAATTAAAAAGATACAGCATAATTTGTATAAGAAATTGTTAAGAGCGGATAGTCGAAAGTGGCTCGTTGACAGTCTTCGCAACGCTCAATGTGTTAATTATGTAACAAAAATTAGAGCTTACCTTAAGGCGCGTTAGCCGTTCTACATAAACTTGTCGTTGACAATCTCCACCTTCTTCATAGAGCCAATCTTCAGTTTCGTTTAATGTCCGCGAAAGTGCTTCTTTGTCTGTTTCTGTAACAAATGTGGCCAATTCGTCTTCTTCTGACAATTTTGCACGTAAGTCGTAGACATATTCCTCCAATGCATTGCGGGCATCAATACGTTCCTTTTCTTGTCTATCTGCGGCAATCATTTTACACTGTAATGTAAAGTGTATATCAGTTAAAAAGTGAACTGTCCATAAAAATGTATGTATCATACTAATCGTAACATACTTCTTTTTCTTGTGCATTCTCCAAATCCTGCTGAGAAAGGCCAAAGCCGTGTGTTTCCCAAGGAAGGTCAATGGTACGAATAGGAATTTTCTTTTTGCCTTTATTCTCTTCACCTTTGTCATCTCCCTAAAAAGTAATACGATGAAACATAAATTATTAATTACAATTTACTCAGATCAATGCAGTGTCTTTTTCGTATAAACGTTGGCAAAATATATACAAAATACTCAAATGTAAAAATAAACTACATTTTTCATTTTACATATATACTTTGCGCGAACACCTTTCTGTTCGAGTAATTTGTTACCAATAATTGAACTACGACATATGAAACGAGGACAACAATGCCATATAGTACATTAAAGAAATATCATAACGATACAAGAACACATAATAGCACATTGGAAGTCAGGTGATGATAGTAATGAGCAGAATATAAAGAGAGGCAAAAATGAAGTATTCACTGTATAAATACTTATTACATTTTACATCTGAATTCTTTCAAAATTAACGTTATATAATATACGAATTAAAAATTGAAACGTATTGCCTGCCTTCACATTTTTCGTATCGATAACACCTGAAATTACTAAAAATCACTGTCTCTCTTTCTTCTGCGACCCAATGAAAAGAATAACAGAGCAAAGACAAGACAGCACGGCATGACACAACTGTATCTTGGACCCATATGCATTGTGATACGTTATGGAATCATTATGTACACTTTTGCATCTACAAATATTCGAAAAATCAATTATCATATAATTACTATTCTTTGATTTTGTTTACACTTTCATACTGTGACTATGATTAGTCGAGTTTGCAGAAGAAATCGACACAGGTTTAAACATTCTGAATAGCACTAATGCCATGCACTAAAAGAACTATCATAAATAATGCGCTTCTGTAGTGATGCATCATATATATTGTACATTTTCATACTCTTAACGTCTGACTATTTTCAAGAAATCACGTGAACCTCTCACAAAACGAGAAAAGAAATACAATTTGTAAAAAGAATATTCCCTCTACGTTTCATACATTTGTCGGTTTACCACGATACAAAATAATTTGTACAAAAATAACATACTAGTGTACGCGTGATATAATATTATTGTAATATGTAATATAGCACATTAATATTCGAAAATAACAGAAAAATATACGTAGACGTTTTACAGTATCAGTTTGTGATAGATATTCATTATAATCATGCAAAGTATTTAAATTTGATTAGAAACATTACTGATTAGAAATTAGTGATCTTGTAACAAGTGACTGACGATGCTGACGTGATGAAAGAAATAAAAGATCTATGTCACTCTCACGCATGAAAAGATATTCGTGTAGCCATTACGAATTACAACAATGCAACGATCTAAGACAAAAGTCGGAAATCATTGCATATGTTTCATTAACATATTGCACATGGGTCCAAGAAATGATAGTGTGTCGCGTACCGAGCTGAACCAAGAGAGAATCCTGGAGGAGTAGGAAGGGCCAGAACCCCTCGCACCTCTTCCACCATCATCAGCATCTGAGTTCCGTCGTGTTTTATCCATGCTCACCTAAACCACAACAAACTCACGTAGTTATGCACCAGACACTCATGACCATATGAATTTTCTACTTCTATGAGAAGTAGCTCCGAATAGAATGGACTTAACAACTTTATAACTTAAGTGTTAATTAAAGCGTCAGTATTTTTCCCAAATAAAATAATCAATTTAATAGACTTTATATTATTACTTAATGGAAGAAGAAAAAAAATATATAGCTAACAAAATTTCATGTATACATTAAAAGGGAAATGTTATATACTATTATTACATATAAGCTACTATGTAACTTACATATGCACAGTTTATTAAGAAAAACGAAATAAAATGAAATCATGCATATACATATATATATACCTCTGGTGCTGGTGGTTCATTTGCTTGTGCTTCTTGATCTGGCTTATCTTTTTGTTCCGCTTGATGGTCAACTTCCATGTTTTGTTGCTGTTGTTGTTGCTGCTGCTGTTGGTGCTGTTTCTCCTCTTCTTCTTTTTCTTGCTGAGTAAGCTCACGTTTCTCGATGAGTGATGCTGAGGTAACTGTGAATAATCCATTTAAATTTATCCTCACTTTCACTTTTACTTTTGATGATTCTCCTTCTGGTGTTGGCTTTATATTCCTTATTACAAACACACCTGTAAAAAATATATTGTTTCTGTTTTAGATACGGAAAATATCAAGGAATATCAAATAATAATTATCCAGATCAAAGATAGAGTTTGTACCAATATGAGTTTGAGGATACGTTGGTGGCGGGGCACTGTAACTGGCAGTCAGTGTAAGCGGATTTGATCGATAAAATGTCAACATTTTTGAGAATGGTACAGCATGATTATGACCAAATACTTCCATTACACTGAAATAGTAAGGCGTCGCATAATTAAAAAAATTGTTCTCAATTAATTTTAAATACGTTGTAAAATAAAACATACCATTCTTCGTTTTGATTATTATTCCATTTTAACGTGATTGGATATGGTTGAATATCTGTCACAGAAAAATCGCGAACTCTTACAGCAGGACTTAACATTGCACACTGGAGTGCGCAACCTCTCGAAACAGCTTCATCTTGATTCAATGTTGTAGAGACAGGACGATTAAAAACTTCTTCTACCAAACGTTTAATAGCGGGAACACGACTGGAACCTCCCACTAATTCTATCGAATGAATTTCTTCCAATTTCAGTTCTGTAAAAAACATTATGAATTAATGTACTGTTTAAAAATATATCTTATGTTAATTTAACCTTTTGTGTCCTGAATGGTTATTTTTATCTTTTATTGTAATCTTCATTCTACAGACCTACTTCAAGACTATAGATAAGTTGAATTTTTCTAGAATATTTTTTATTGTTCCTTGAAAGGATAAGTTGAACTTTGTTAAAAAATTTTGTCCGTATATTAAACAGGTAGAATAAGGAGGGTTAAAGCATTTATTTTATATGCTGTTTTCGGTTTTCTCTCTTTGTAATGGACTGTGATATAGTTAAAGTAAATTAAATTTCGTAAGAAGTGTAGGCATATATAAATCACTGTGGCACATTAATAAAAATAATATCTTAAAGTACCATAAGGACATTGAAGGTTAAACAATATATGGTAGACATAGAACTTACTGGAGTCTTCAAGGCACTTCCGCAAAGTGGATTCCACGCGTTTAAACAAATGAGCGCACATTGCTTCCATGTCTGCACGTTTCATGGTGCCATGTACATCTTTTTCATCCATGAAACATTCAATATTTAGAGGAAGTGTTGTTGAATTGGCTGACATCTGTTTCTTCAACTTCTCTACCTCTGCTAGTAACCTTACATATGCACGTGGACTGCCACGTGCATCAATATTATAACGCGATTGAAAGTCTTTGCAGAAGTGATCGGCTAGAATGGCATCTATATCCCTGCCACCTAACTGACTATCAGAAGCACTTGCTAACATCTGTAAACAATATTTTTATATTATAATAATGATTTATTTTTAAATAAAAAGATCAATATCTATTTACAGAAAATTAATATTTACCTTAAGCTTTCCTTTGTGAAACGCACAAATGCATACTTGTAGACTAGCATATCCACAATCAACAAAAGCTATATTTCTTGGAGGTCCTTCAGGTGCAGGTAAATCTTGTTTGTAAATACCGTAGCATAAAGCAGTAGCAGTTGTTTCATTGAATAATCTAAGAACATTTAAGCCTGCAATTCCTGCAGAATCCAGCAATGCTTGGCGTTCAGATTGTGTAAAATATGAAGGAACAGAAATAACACAATCATTAATAGCTGTTTGCAGAGCAGTTTCAGATATATCCTTCAATTTTGTGAACAACATTGCAGTGATTTGTTCAGGTGAAAAGATGTGTTCTTCTCCTAAGTATTGTACCTAGTATTTATGAATAAATGTAAACAACTTGTCAATTTAAAAGTATTACTGTTAATGTCAGATATAAATTACACCTGACTTTCAATTTACTCGAACCTTTTTTAGTCTCTTTTTTCGCGCGATCTGAATTTAGTAACACCAAATAAAAGGTACTTTTGTTTTCTGGAATGTCATTCTTATTTCTTTTGTTTAGCTATGTGAAATAGATATGTATTTCTAAAGCTTTTACTAGCTTTTTTTTCCAATATTTCATTTTCTCTTGTACCAACAAACTCTATTTACACGATTTTTACTCTATTTACACGAATTCACGTGAAACGGATTTTCGCATAAATCGAGGATCAGGTGTACTAGCAATATGATTCATCAAATACAAGTGTTCCAAAGTGATATAAATAAAATATGAGACTCTAAGAAAGTGAGAAACCTGGCAAAATGCCCAGATTAATACTGAATCAAGTCACATTAAAAAGAACAGTAACAGCATTTATTATGTCTAAAATCTAAATAACTAGTGCATTTGATGAAATGATTGTAAAGTTTAACATTAATGTCAATACATCATACATTATTATAATTATCTTTATTATTTTCCACTTTATGTTTTATGTTAAAAGTATAAAGAAGAAACTAAAAAATAATAAAAACTTACATGTATACCAATATTTCCTTCTGCCTGCTGAGTTACCTTAAAAGGTGACATTTGAATTTCTCGCTGTACTTGGGGATCATTGTATTTTCTACCTAACCATCGTTTAAATCCATAAATAGTATTTTTCATGTTAGTAACCATTTGATTTTTAGCTGCCACACCAAGAATTCGATTTTTTCCACTAAATGCCACACATGATCTGAAATGAATTATCAACTAATTATTATTTCTGTTAATTTAATACAGATAAAATATTTTAGAACTTTAAATGTTCTTGTTGTCAGAAGTCTAAGTACGATCATTTCTTTGTTTCATATACATGTATGTAACATATATGTAACTTTTGCAATAATTAGATAATCTTGTAAAAACATCTATTTTTAAAACATAACAGATATTGAATTAACATCTGTAAAACACATTAACCTTTTTATGATTCATCAATATGTAACTTGAATTCAAGGTCATGAAACTACATTATCAGAAAATAACACAAAGTGAATGGAAAATAAATTATTTCATAAAGTAACATTGTGCTATTTCGTCATAACAGTTATTAAAAGTTTATAAAACCTTGAAACAATTAATATCTGCATTTAAAAAATTCGTTAATACTTTGATTCTTATCTTGATGACTATTTCAATCATCATATCGCAAAAGTAAATAAATATTCTATGTTTACTCGCGCGGAATTAAGCATATATACAAACATTTCTAGTTTTTCAACCAACCCTAATCGGAATACGTAATAGTTTTTTTTGTGTCGCAAGATAGAATACAGTTGCATTAACGTCTGACACTAATAACAGCCTCTTTAAAAATGTTCTCGGCAGATCGATAGCAAATGTCAGCTATATCGCAGGCATATCAAATTTTGAATAAGACGGAAAAAATTACTCATTGATTTTCGACTACGCGATGGACTTTTTTGTACCGTCTTAGTCATGTGAAAGTAACCACGGGCCACCTAAATAGACAAAACGTTGTGGACATAAATGGTAGTGACCGAATAATCCATGATAGGCTCTACATTTAATTCGCGTGACATTGGGCTACTCAGTCGTATCGGTAGATTTTTATTTCAGTTCAAGTAAATTGCCATCGAAAAATTCGCGTTAGAAGGCGAATAGATACGAGGAAGACCGGTACAGTGCACCGGTACCCGCGGAACGTTATGCAAACAGTCAGGAAATAATTATGTGAATGAAGGAAACTTACGGTGTGTTTCGAAGACTGTAATCATTAGCTATTGTCTCAATACCTCCAGCGCGTGCTACGGCCACATAACAACTCTCGTTACCGAAGTCGATTCCAATCACGGACATAGCAGCCATGGCTGATATTAGGCTGATCAACGTTTTCCTTGCGACACTGAATTAATTGTCGAGTTTAGACCGTATATTCGATGTTTATCCTCGAAAAAGGATATCTAATTGATCACTAAATGCTCAGCTTTCTCTGTGACGTATTAACGTGAATATCAAATTCACGGTCCCACTTTGATTCTCAGTTCTACTCACTCAATAGACTGAACGAAATGCCTTCCGCACGATGACTGCGATTACTTCTTTCTGCTAACTTCTGCTGAAAATTCACCAATCATGGCGCTGCAGTATACAACTCCTATTGGTCAAATGGCTGCTCTGGAACATTCTGGAATTATACGCCGGAATCTACCTAACGTGGATAACACAGGCGTTCATTCTGGAAGGATCGAATATAACGGATCAATACAAACCGCGTGTTTCAAGTCAGAAACTACCAGATCCAGAAATAAACGCTTGATAAGAATCATAATTTGTAACGAACGTTTCCTCTGAATTTCTCGTACCTTTTTCAAGGGATTTCGAATTTATGTATAGGGTGACTCGCGCATTGGCATGATTGGTTTATACTCCAACATGTCGGTTGTGAAACGAATATTCAAACGTTTCAATAGCCTGCGAATCGCTAGGTCTGTTTGAATTGTTACACGATATTGTTTCACGATAAGCACTAACGTTAAAATATAAAAAATTGAAAATTTTGTTCTTGCACGGTTCTTCCATGCAAGAAAAAGTTGTATAATATACTTTTGCTGCATGTACTAACGTCTTGCAAATGTCTTGCATTTTATATTTATATGAAATATACGTCATGTCTACGTTAACCTACTATTACTTCTAACATAAATATACGATGATGTATTCGTATTTTATATAAACGTTTTACGTTTTCGATTGCGTCATCATAATATTCCGAAAAGTTCGCTTTGTCGTATAGTAGCACTTGCATGCTAGAATGCAATTTGAAGTGGAGCATTCATGAATAAAAAAAATAAAAAATGTATATGTAATGTAAGTTTTTCGATATAACAATACTGGCAGTTATTTAATAATTTTAGTGTCCAGCAGTATTAGTCTTTAATTTTCATGAAAAGGCCCATGGTTTGAATGCGTGCATACGCGAAAATTTATTTGTCAAATTTATACAAAATGTCACGTTTGTGTAACATATGGTTTTATTTATGTAAAAAAGGCTTCAAAAATTCGGAGACTTTGTTAAGCAGTCTGAAGCTTAAAAAGATTAGCGATTTAGAAAATGTATCTTATCAAAGAAGTATAGGTTATGCACAAATTTATAAGAAATTAGAGAAACATTTTTACCCATTGTACAAGTTACTAGATACACTTATGTTAAATAAACATTCTTCTGTATTAATGAAAACAAAGTTGAAGTTTAATAAATATGACACTAACCCTACGAACAAATATAACAAAAATTTGGGATTCATATTGAGTGGAATTGGATTGACAGTAGTTCTCTGCAAGGCACAGAACCCAAAGCTAGGTACGTACTTTTTATATTAAAATTTATGTATATATACTAATTTTCAATGAATGTTTTTAAACAGAAAAGCAATTTTTTTGGGCTGCAAAAAGTGGCGATGTTTACGAATTACAAAAAGTGAGTTCAATAAACATTTTATTATATACCAATGTATAATAAAACCTTTGTTTATAGAATATAAAAGAAGGTGTTGATGTAAATGCACGTCATCCGTTTGGATGGACAGCATTACATGTTGCTGCTATTAATAAAAATTTAGAGGTCATACAAATTTTATTAAAGATGGGTGCTGATGTTAATGTAGGAGATGAATTTATCAATGTTTATAAAACAGCCAAAGAAATGGGAATACATTCTTATGATGGTAGAGTATGCAAATGAAAATCCTAATAATTGTATATTCTGTTACAAATGGTATTATATACGTACTGTTCAAAAATTTTCAGTGATCATGATAAGAGAAGATGAGTTTTCTGATATTTTGAGTACCAAAGCTAGCTTTAAAGGTTTTACACCTCTACATTACGCTGTGTTAGCAGATTCAAAAAGTTGTGTACAGGCATTATTGGATGGAGGAGCAGATCCAACAATAGAAAATGAGGCTGGTCATCGTGCAATAGAATATGCTAAAAATGGAGCTCTTAAAGAAATGCTAAAAAATCATGCTACAAAATATGATCAAATACTCAAGGAAAAGGTAAATCTATTTAAATTGAAATCTTCACTTCTACGTAATATTATTTTTGATCCATATTTTTATCAAATATTGTAAATAGGAAATAGAAGAACGTCGTAGATTTCCATTAGAACAACGCTTAAAACAACATATTGTTGGTCAAGAGGGAGCAATATCAATTGTGGCATCTAGTATGATATATTTCATTTAATAAATAAAACAATGTCTAAATAGATCATAAATTTAAACCATTTTATATATTTGTAGCCATTAGGAGAAAAGAAAACGGTTGGATAGATGGAGAACATCCTCTGGTATTCTTATTCTTAGGTTCATCTGGAATTGGAAAAACTGAATTGGCAAAACAATTGGCTACCTACATTCATAAAAATAAAAAGGAAGGATTTATTAGATTGGATATGTCTGAATATCAAGAAAAGCATGAAGTTGCCAAATTAATTGGAGCACCACCAGGGTATACATCACAGTTATATTATATAAAACACATTTAGGTATTACAAAAGCATTTTATTATGTTATTACATTTTATAGATATGTCGGCCATGATGAGGGTGGACAATTAACAAAACTTTTAAAAAAGTGTCCAAATGCTGTTGTATTATTTGACGAGGTTGATAAAGCTCATCCTGATGTGTTAACAGTACTACTACAGCTCTTTGACGAGGTACAAATATTTTTGGTATTATATATTGGCATAAGGAACTAGAAATTAAACCAAATGATTAATTTTGATTTTTAGGGAAGATTAACAGATGGCAAAGGAAAAACAATTCAGTGCAAAGATGCAACTTTTATAATGACGTCAAATTTAGCAAGTGAAGTAATTGCCAAGCACGCAATGCAACTTAGAGAAGAAGCTCAACGAGTTTTAAATCTCAGACTGGATAAAAATGCAGAGGAGGATCAGACTCCAGAACATATTGAAATATCTCGTAAATTTAAGGATGAGGTGGTATGTATTAATTTTTATTCAATAATGCAAACTCTCTTATACTACTCATTCAGAGTAAGTTAGTTACTCAGAATCAGCAAGAATTATTGAAGCAATTATATTATTTAATATATTATATATATATGTGCAATAGGTACGACCTGTATTGAAATCTCATTTCCGAAGGGATGAATTTCTAGGAAGAATAAATGAAATTGTTTATTTTTTACCATTTTCTCGATCAGAGTTGATAAAACTGGTAGCTAAAGAATTAGAAGCCTGGGCGGTGCGTGCAAAAGAAAGACACATGATAGACTTGAAATGGGATAGGGAAGTTCTTTCAATTTTAGCAGACGGATATGATACTCATTACGGTGCTCGTTCTATTAAATATGAAGTCGAGAGGCGTGTTGTTAATCAATTAGCTGCTGCTTATGAACGAGGCCAAATAAGTACGTATATTATTATTATTTTATTATACGATTTAATAATGTCAGATTTTAATCAAACATTTAATTACAGCAAAAGGATGTTGCGTGTTACTTAAACCTAAATGGCATGAAAACGGTGCGACTATAGCTTTATCCGTGCGACCTCAAGGAGTAAAGGATTTCGTCGACATTGCTGATACAGATAACTTAATCAAAAATGTAAATTCTGGTTTCTAATACTGTAAATAATGATATCTAATATGTAATTTTGTTAAACATACAGTATGAAACATAGCTGATCTCTAACGCATTCATAGGAGAGTTCATATTAGTTTAAGTAAATATAGTTACGCACAGAAGATTATTTTGCAGTATTTATTGTGTATAGATACATGCTTCATTTCTGAAATATATTTTGTAAAAGAAACTACTCTGTTTATTGTAACATAAGAATATACGGCGGATTAGATTTGTAGTATTTTTTTCATTTTTAAATTGTACATATGGATTATGTATTAAAAATAACAGTTAATATATAACAGAATCTAAAAATACTTAAAAATGATTTGTTCAATATTGTTAGCTGTACCGATTAAAGTTGTAATTCCAAATACAATACCAGTGAAGTGAAATGCATAATTTTGACGGAAATAAGTAATTCTTTATTTTCATTTGAATCATAAGGATACATTACAAGAAAATATCGGTTATACATCACATTTAGGATACATTGTACATTCTTTACCACGCAATAAGACAAGAAACATTCTCGAAAACACTCAGAAAACTTGCCTTGCTCTTCGATAGGCTAGTAACGCTATAAATTGTATTTCCTTGTTCAATTGTTTGTACGATAATTGTAGTTCAGTCACAGTGAACATTTCATTTTTTGTTTGCCATGTAGTGCAAGGCAAATTCAGGTCCGACGAAAGGTAGTCTGTTGGTTTAAAAACTATGCGAAATATCGTTGGACGATCGTCGTCTACCGAAATTGGTGTTCAAAGATCGGTGGTAGAAACACGATACGAACACGACGTTCACAGAAAGTTTTTATATTTCATATTTGTGCAAATGAAGAGATACAAAGTCAATATTTTTATATGTACAAGATGCCTTTAAAAATAAAGATACTATGCAGTATAAAATCTGATTGGGAAATACATTCCGAGATAAACTAATTCAGAAGCGTAAATCTATATGTTTTTGTATTTCACTTTTTTATTACACCTTTCATCTAGAAATTTATAAATTAAACTTCATAGGTTTCCTTCATTTATAATAGCTGCGATTTTTCGCAAAAGTTGCTCAAAAAATGTCTCATCCTTTTATAAATATATATTAACATTATCGTTGATATTAAATTACCTTTTATGCTTAATACCTCATGATCAATCAAAATTATATGTAAAAGTTAAAAAAGTTGTAACACCAAAACTTTTTCAATGACAACTTCATAGGGAAGTTAATAGATACATGTTCATATGTTTATTGTAAAATTGTTCACTTTAGAATTGAATTCTCTACCAGATTCCAAGCTAGTTTCTTTACATTTAAAACATCCTGTATGTTCAAATCTATTCGACATATACTACTGACCATAATAATTTTCTCGTAATACTAGAAAGTTTAAGGGACGTTATAGAAGTATCAATGTTCCGCGTGAAAATAGAAAGTCTTAAAACATATTACATGTTTTCATATTTTTATATTAAACATTAAACGCGGATCAAGTTTACTATTTCAAAATCGTTTAACCCCATTCGTTCCCTTAATTTGTCACGATATAAATTTGTCAAGTTTCTATCTCATAATTCATAGTAAACCATAAGAAAATCTTCTCAATGAAATTGTCATCTTATTCGATTTCAAGATGCACACGAGAAAATTATACGTACGCATGGTCACTAGTGTAAATCGTTAACATCGCTACAATTAATTATAAGTATCGGTAGATAAATTTTGATAAGTACTTTGGTATGTTGAAAGCACGTTGCAGTAGACACTCAAGTTGATTGTATATACGACACGATATACATGTAAGAAGAACATTTTCATATAATATACATATATATACGTTTTTTTTTAAATATAAATAGGACACGCGTTCTCGTGGCGCGCAGAATATAATAAGAAATACTGTTAAGTAATAATTTAAGCGTACGATTCGGACCACGCTTTTACAGTTAAGCGTTTCTTCCCAACGAACCATTACAATTTTCCAGCAAGGTTTTATGTTTCGCTTATAGTCCTTACTTACACGTACATATTACATGTATATATTATATACTTGCATATACGTACACATACGAATATATAATATATAATATATAATATACCTATATTTATAATATAATATATGATATTTATTCAACATACTTAACGATCATCAACATTTAATTATATCCTCTCTTATTCCAGGTAACGGTGGTCACGCAGCGCTTTTCTTTCCTTCCCTGTCCCTTTCTCACAGCTAACGGATCAAAAACACGAAATCGCTGTGGCGGTAACGCCCGATATTAAAATATTTCACAGTTCGGCAGGTTCCTTAATCGAGCCTCTAACTTAGTAATTAAATAGATCTAAGCTCCGGGAGAATCTTCGAAAATTATCGGTATTACAATATGATATGACGAACTTTGGTCGGAAATGTTTACATTCTCCTTGCCGTTTCGCGTGAATCAGATGCAGCTGCAATCGTTCGGTTTATCCTTGCCCGCGTCTCCTAGTGTCCTGTGAAATAGGAACGCAAAAACTCGAAGATACCTATCGGAACGTGGTCTGCGCGACACGATTTCTCGTTAGCAAACGGTTAACACTAGAACTACCGAGCAATTAGAGTGATTTCTCCGTAATCTCCTAGAGAAATGAAAAAAAAAACTGTATTCTTCGAGATTTGAAGCGCTTGTACACTGATATATTCATAGAAATACTGTATAGCTTTCATGTCCTGAGTACATTCTAAAAGCTTAAAGTGCAAGGGGAATCGATTGTACGCTCCAGCACTATATCAATTCTTTGCCTTTGTTAGGCTGTGCTCGAGTCAGTTTCTGGAAGCAAGTAGCTTCCTCCTATGCAACCCGAAATTGTGGAATTTAAACAAGCATTACATAGTTATGACGTCAATGTTTATTACATCTCACTTCGTCTGCTTTCTTCGTTACGCGGCTTGGCCAATGACATCAACTGTCATCGCCTTGTCCCTGTTTAGCTTTTAGGATTCACTCAGGACGAAAGTGCTGCACAGCACACAGATCTGCTTTATAATTTTTCACCAAAGCATCTTCACAGTTTCGAGAACAGTGAAATAAGAATTTTTAGATGAGCCATTCTGACTGGCCCGGTAGTTTTAGTGTTAAACGGTTCATTGATACTCATCCGATCGGAACGGATGGTTGCTCGACACTGTGTTTACATATGTTGCATTCTCTGTTGCAGATTTGCTTGTCAGTTACTCGACTAAACGGTATTGATTACGTTAATAATTACAGACGCTGTCACATTAAATCGGTTTGGGGACCGTTCTTAGGCTCTCGATTCACTGTGAACCGTGTGCACCACGAAATGCGATTCAACTTTTGAGGTCAGTGTTGTAGCGTAGCACTTAGGCCTAGAAAGTACATTACGTATATGCGTTATCTATTTCATTTCTATTTCGGCATGTTCTGCTAGGGCGTCCTAGAAAATGTCGCATGTTCAAATCGTTGTTTACCTACTGGGTTGTAACATAAATATGTTCACATGTATTCAATAGTTTCGTTTGGATTAATCATTCAAATTTGAAGTAAGTCATTATTACATTCTTAGAACTAGGATTGTTCACATTTGCATTTAAACGAATTTATGTTACTACCTAATATGTTTAGTTCAACGTGCTGTCAAAGCAGAAATTTGGGATCATTCGTCGATTTTCATGAAAACCGTGTGTCATTTAACGCGTGAAATAGTGATTTTACATATGTATGCAATAAAATAGCTTCAAAAAGTATTATAAATCTAATACACACGAGTTAGTATTGATGAGAAGTAGAAACGGTAAATCATAAGCAGAGGCGTTAGTAGATTCTTATTAAATGCAAATTCTAGTTCGATTATTTTCAAAATGAATCACGTAATAAAGTAATGCCAAACTATTACAGAATAGTACAGAAGAAGAAACATTTTCCCATTTTGACCAAATATCAGGATAAACATTTTCAAATACATTTTTCAAATCTTTCGATAACATCTCTTCTCTTGATTGGTAATAAATATCGGTCACGCAATCAGATGTAGTCTAATCGACTCAACGTTAAGACGAAATATGACCTAAGAGGTGACAGTGATAGATATTTCAGTGATGCGATAAACATGTCCATTAACATTTGACAATGATAAAGAAAGACGTTATAAGGAACATTACTGAAGATACGCATTATTTTCTAGGACATCCCAGTAATAAAAAAAAAAGATTCCTGTTATAAATAACCGTAAAAATTTCTGTTATCACTTTATCTGCTTGTGATCACTTCCAAATGACCGATACAGTTTCTCCTATCGTGTATGAGTATATGGTTCTAATTGCAAAGCTGTATAACTTCAACACTAGGTTCACGGATATTTGTTGTAGACTTCATTCTGTTGTTCCTAGCAAAATGGATAATCCATTCGTTTAGATCTTGGAAATTAGGGGTTAGAAAATAGACGATCAAGATACATATTCATCTAATTGCATCAATCAAAATCGACGCAAGCATTTAGCAAATAATGTTAATAAAATTCGATATCCGTCAGATTGACGGGACCCGTAAATCTAGGGTTAAAATTAAAGTATAACGGAATTTCGTTATGTTCAGTTATGTTTTAGAACAGCGAGATTTTAATAGGTTTTGAATTGTTAAGCATTCGGAAAAGCCGATTAACACATTGCGTACCGGTTAATTGTTAAAAAAACTTACATTACTATATGTAAAATATTTAAATATCTGATAGTTAATTGATAAAGTTTAAAATAATTTGAAAACAATTGATTCTAATAAAATGTAATATTTTCTCAAACGATGCGCTGGTTAGCAAAGCTACGAAGGTAGCTATTTATATAAAAATTAGATTTCTCGTTTCCGGTACGCAATGTGTTATATGGCTTGCGGTAGATAAAGTGTAATGGTACGTCTGATATCGATCAAACGTGCCTTATGTACTCATGGAAAATTAGAATCGTTCCGCATGAACGGAAACATGGTTTGTCTTTTAACGTCGGAAACATGATGTAACTGCTATCATGGTCGTTTCGTTGCCGGATAATCAATTCGGTGATTATGTAAGACGTGGTTAGCCTTCGACGTAAACGGAACACGTACGAAAAGAAGACGAGCGAAACGAAGCTATTTTCGTAATGGCGGCTCATTTACTTCCCGTACTACTTGCAATATTGATTTAAGCTAAGTAATTAAGTACTGGCGACAATACTGTTGCACCAGTGCTGGGTAAAATATTTTTTCGAACAGTTAATGGAGCGTGTACTCTGAAAATATCTTGTTGCTCGAGGAATTTATTATTTTTCTTTTTATTTAATTAAAGTCAACGTTCAAAAGGTGAAATTTTCCCTCGATCCTTTTTTTATTTTTATTGAGAAGATTACTGAGATTTTATTCTAATGGTTTAAGTTATTTAAAAACGTTAATGAGTTCTAATACGTTTTTAAAGTACTGTTCACTTTGAATTTATTAACAGATACATTTTAATATTCAACCCACCTAAATATTAAAATTAATCTGAAGAAAATTGATTCGAATCCGTTCAAATTCATTGGTGAAGAAATTTTCGCACATTGCATACTGGTAACGCGAAATCTCGTTTTTATATAAAGACACTTAGTTCTGTAACTTTGCTAATTACTACAGCAATTAAAAAAAAAATTAAATCTGATTATAACTGATCATCTATTTGATATTTTTTATATCTCACTAAAAATCGCTACCTGCCTAATTCAGTTTTCTGAAAATCAGCCGGTACGCAGTGTATCAATATTCAAATTTTACTTTCATAATAATTTCAATAATTTACATCTATTAAGTTTATTGAAAAATCTTTCGCTTTGTACAATATATAACACACCATTTTCATTAGGATCGTATAACGTTCATTCTTTCAGTATTCGGAATATCTGTTTTCTAAATTTTACCCAGATCCGCGCGCAACGCTATCGTCTCGTTCACTACTGTGTACCAGTTTCAACTTGACAGAACATAATGACGAAAGAGAAGATAACGCTCACTCGAGAATCGCGTGGCTTAGCGCGACAAATTTATCTCAGTCGCGTGGATGGTCCAATGAAATCGGCCGAAGTGCGCAACGATTCTTGACCATTCATTAATATTTCGACGAACAAGCTCGTCTCTAAAACAATTCAACAACGATGAGTAAATGACAGCTTCGGTGCCAATCCACGGAAAGCTAGGCGCAGCAAAATGTTAACACTTTGAGTGTCGTGTCTGCCGCACGTGACTGACACGCATCTGTTCATTGTAGATTAAAAATCAATATTTATAATAAAACACAAAAAAAGAGGAATTGAAATTCAATCATGATCGACGAGCTTTCGAAAAACAAAGATCACGGCAAGCCTGCGAATCTTCACGCATTTCTAGTACATTCGACCGCGCGAAACGCAATTAGAACAGCGTAGCAATCAGGTTTCCAAAAGAATTTAGAAACTAAAAAACAACGTTTACAATAAAATATAAAAATATGTACATAATCACGGTTGGCGTTCAAGGAACGGAAGCTATGGACTAGCCTGCAGATGTTCATCCACCTACAGTTCACCTGCCAGTTAAACTTAACGAGGATATAACGATAAAGTTTCCACAGGAATTCTCTCATTAACCTCGATGTACTGGAACTCTTTACGCAGAGAGTTAATGGATTCCCTATTATTTTCCTCTCCGGGATCCGCAGAATCGAACTTCGACAATTAACTGAACCAAGCTGAGTGGATTCTCCGGGGTTGATCGCGCACGCAAAGTGTTAATAGGGGATACATCGATCAGTGGGGCGACACGGTGTGCTCGCGGTTTTCGTTTCCGTTCAGTGGTTTCGAGAGTACATCCATAGAAGCGGTTCCACATATAACACGGCTACCTTTGTTTACATGTATTGTTTGCCGGATTATTTACCCTAGAAACTGATTGTACGCCAGTCGCCACGGCACGGCTTCCCTCTTGCCGCTATTTTCTTCCCCTCTTTGTTAACGGGGAGAACGGAAAGCCGCGGATTTCCCGTGATTTTCCAGCGGTGAACGGTCGGATCCTCGGATGGACGATTTACAGCGATTAGTGCAACGTGTGCCACATGGCGATGGTCTCTCTCGGCGATTGAGTCATGTGCAGCCAGTGCTCCCTACCCTGGCTGCCGCTGTTCTCCACGCCCGGAATGGCGCCGGTCGCCGGGCCGATGATGCAAGAGCCGACGATCACGCTGCCACCGATGAATTCGTTGCTTGAGTCCATCACGCGCACCTTGCAGAAACTCAGTTCAATTAATTGCTTTGCGTCGAATGTTTCACAGCAGGGCTGTCCAACCTTTTAGTTACCTTAGGTCTCATCAGAAGATGACGGGTTGGTATGGGCATATAAATTAACCCTTAACCCCTTAGCCTACAATATCGTGTTAGACTCGCGATGAAGATTTCAAATAGACTTTGACAAGCAACATTATTCAATTTGTTTGAATGCAAAGTAAATCATAAGATTAGAATTTTCTCCTATTTACAATAAATTGTTAATAACAGAGGAGTTAAATCAAATCAATGTTGTTCATTGATCACGAATCAAAGGAAAGACTACTTTGTTATTACGGATTGATTGCCTTCAAAGTAAATTATCATTTAATGCTAAAAACACGTACGTGAATGACTCGCATAATGTCAAAAAGTAGACTTGCCTTGTTACAGAATTCGTGAGTTCAATTTCTTATTAAATAAAATGGCGAGAATATAGTAAAAATTCGGGACTTCGGGTTTTAGAGCAGTAAGAACAAATGAGCTCCAATGAAATTCCTGTTCCAATGTTTGGGAAATCTTCGCGCTGGGAAAGGGACGGAAATGAAAGAAGGAAATTACGTTCCGCGGCATAAACTTCGGGAATAAAATTTGTTCCCGTGCGGATAAGGGTCGTGGCTTTTTTCCTCGTTCGCCGTCGTTAACGGGGAGCGTAATTGGCCGGCTGCGTCTCGCTGAATTTCGTTACGCGTATCGATTCGCCGGCTCTCGAATTAAATAATAATTTTCGTCGGATGGGAGTTCCGCAGTCGCTGCGCGGACGAGAGACAGCGCCCCTCTCGAATCAAGTATTAAGGACCGCTTTCGAGCTAATTATGTCGGAGGGCAGTGGTTACTTCCCTCCAAGAGTGGTTTGCGTAAAAATATGGAACGTACGAGGCATCGGGCGTAACGATCGTCATGGTTGCAATATTTATCCGGATAGGATGGAATTTCGTTGGAGCTTGTCGCAGTTCCGTCGTGAACGCGAAATAAATTGTAATTACCCTCGCAGAACTAATAAAATGCTCGAAGCTTCGTAATATTCCGCGTTTCGATTCCTTCCTCCAGATCGTGTTCGGATTTTAATTAGCGATTGTAAGAGATTATGCTATCGATGAATTTTGTGTTTGAAAATTAAGGGCTCATTAAGATGTGGTGTATAGAAAAAGAATAATGTAACTGTGTAATTAGAACTGGTAAGCGTTAAGTGAATCAAGCGAGTTTAGAAATGTTATTGGAGTTACGAGTGAAGTAGGATAAAATTGAATCTGTTGAACGAATGTCTTTCAATTGTAAGTATCTGTAGGTGTAAAGAAATTAATTTGACAAAAATGTGTAATGTGGAAAACTACTGAGTAAATTAATAAGAGAATGGAAAGTTATTGAAAAGTGGGTTCGATAAGAAATTATGTTAAATGAATGTTTTTCAATTGCAAGTATATGTAGGTGTATAATTGAAAGTGTAACGAAATTAGTTTAACAAAGATAATTGTGTAATGAGGAAAACTAATAAGTAAATTAATAAGAAAGTGGTAACTGAAAAATAGCAATGATATATTTTTTTTTTGTTAGCAAGTTGAAATTATTGTAATACTTTCAAATTAAACAAGATGAAAGGAGTGATGTTCCAGTATTGGAGGATGTGCTTACCTCAATGGCAGACGACGCGAGCGAGCTCGCAGGGACGTCAAAGGACATCGCCTCATTCCACATAGGACTTGTTGTCGCTTTCTTTACAGCGGTTTTCTTCTTCATCCGTTTTTCACCGCAAAGAAGATTCACCTTCACGAAAGAATTTAATGTCTCCTTTTCCTGCGTAACACATGTAAAACCGATAATATGGAATATTAAAAGATTGAAATGATCTTCATCCATATATATAAATGAGTACAAGAGAAACAGTAAAATTATTTGTGAAAAATAAAATGATAGTAAACAAGTGTAATTTTCCAAAAAGTTCGTGCTTGAATCAAAATTTAAACGCAGAGCACGTTTTCATAAAATAATTCTATTTCGTTGAGTACCAACGGTATAAACATAATTTGCTGCTACTACCAATTTCATTCATTAACACTTTGAGATTAAATGGTTTTAAAATGTTCCCACTTTTTTTTACAGTTAATGCACGGGTTAAAAAATAACCCACCAAACTTAATTGAAATCACTTATACTGTTGTACTATTATCGTGCATACCGAGTGTTTTATTTTTTTAAAATTGCGTGCCTCTAACGGTTAAACTAGTGAAATACCGATTGAAATCAGATTTCGATTCATTATTAACACTAGATTTACGGAACCAGACAACATGACTCATATCGTATTTTATAAACATTATTTACTAAACGTTAGGATAAATTCTGATGATACAGTTACGCAAATATGTATTCTAATCGTTTACTTATAGCCCTCTAATTTCCAAGATATAAATGAAACGAATATCCATTTTTCTAAGAACGATACAACGAACTGTACACTAAACGTCCGTAAATCTGTTAATAAGAAAACCGTAAGTGCTTTCTCTGGTACCTAATAATTTCGCTATATCAAATCAAGTGGCGAAGAATTGCTTCTCCAGTGCAAAGGGTTAATGTTCTCCCCTTGGCTGGAAGATGTTAACTTATTTTCCTAGGGGACCATAAACAGAGATGAAGACGTTACCTGCGGCGGAAAGAGATTCCTCGCTTTTACGATAACGACCTTTAATCGCTCCGCGCTCGGCAGATAAGACAAGGAGAGCAAAACTTCTTGGGTATGTTCCGGTGGCTTCCGTTCGCGTTCTATCTGACCCCATACTTCCTCGGTGGACGAAGGGGAGTCTAATCGCAAGATGTTTAACGGTACCTTCACCGAGCCCACCACGTCGTTTCTGGAGAATCGATCGTAATCCAGCACCTGTTGTTTGAAACAAACGATCTTCATGCAAGATGCACGTAAAAAACAATCGTGTAAAAATAGAATTTAACCCTTTGTACTCCAGAAGTGTTTCACTGGAAATACTCAGCAAATCGAGGAATCGAATCGAGGAATGGAATTAGGTTACTTCAATATTTCACATATCGATGCATTACACGAAGTTTAATATTGAATATGAAACTTTACAATTTTCCTGTGTTAAGTCAATCGACGACTGAGGGGCACTTCCGGAATGCAAAGGGTTAAACGGTAAGAGAAAGATGAAATATGATTTTTAGAAAATCATATAGTTTATACACTGTCATTATTTTTGCTATCAGTATCATCGAATAGGTATCTGCTAGAACAACGATTTATTGCTCACTGTTGTAATTAGAGAAATTGAGCAATAAATAATTGTTAGAGAATACTGTTGTTTTTGTCGAGTTTAGATCTTTCTAAAGATCTTTTAATTGTATCTTTCTGTTTTTTTTAAATGAAGTTGTAACATACGTACTTTTTTAGACACCTGTTTAAGTAATACTTTTTTTATTACGGTTAACAATTGAAATTCTTAATTTGACTGAAAGTTAGCCTGATAAAATGATATTTATGTCTTAGGGATCTATATTGTGTGCATGTATGTACGTGAGTCAACCGATAACTTTATCTTCTTGGAATAAAGATGTTATTTTTAGAAACAAGGGAAACTTATTTTTACAAAAGTTGTATGATACTGAGTGGGACATGACGAGAGAATAGATAGGAAAAACAAAAGACAACGAGAAATTTATCGAACGTTTATCTGCAACAAAAATATTATTAATCATTCTTTATTCGATTAATCAATTTTATTAATCGTTTTGACCTGTCTGGTAGTTTTAGCGTTAATTTCACGGTGATTACCTGCAAGACGAGGGTTTTATCATGAAATTCATCATGGCTGACGGGGAACTTGAATTGCTGATCGAAGACCGGGTTCGTCTCGTTACGATATATCTGCGTCTGTCGTTTTCTTGTGTCCACCTCAGGACTCAGCGTCAGTTTCACGTAAGGGTCGTTGAAACCTCCTTGGTCGCTGCCAGCCAGATCGTGCGCCTCAATCAAGTGAACGTGCAGATCGGATCGATTGAAATCGTATCTGAACCGCAAATGCAATCGACCTAAACTTTTCCCATTCCTACGAACCCATTCACAAAACTTCGAATTAGTTTCACTTCGTATGATGTTAACCTCTTAAGTGATTTTTCTTATTTTCAGAATGTACACTTATGTGATTACTTATTATATCTCTAGGCAATGACGAGTATACTCGACGAAAACACGGTAAATACACTTGCTGTAAGATTCAGTTAATTTATAAACTATACATTGTTTTGTTGTTTCTATGAAAAATTTCTTATTTCATTGGAATTTACGATACTTACAGAATTTAATATTTTATTTTTTAATATTATATTTTGTCTGTTCTATCGTTGACTTCACAATTTTTAATTTCTACTACAAAATCATATGAATATTTGGCTCGAATATAATTTGTATATTATATTAAAGACTATAAGCATCTTAGAATTTTTCCAGATTTTTACAGAAGTCACAACAGTGAAAAATCAAGAATAATCATGAAAGGTCCGTATTGATCCATCAATGAAAAACCATACCATCAGCGAAGGGTTACATACACATATTCGTTCTCTTGGACAGTACAGCTTCCCACAATTCTCATGATAAATATTTTACAACGAATATTTCCTTCCAATTTCCTGAATAAATATTTTTCGCAATGTCTAAATTCCGTTCGTGTAACGGAAAACGATAATGGCACCTTTCACAACAAAGTCATTTCCCCGAGATTCCGATCTCCAACTGTTATTCGTTGTTTGCTGTTTGTTCCTCGAGAAGCGTATCGAGTAACGCAGCTTTCTGCGCATCGCACGTTGAATCTATCACAGTCCAGCAGCGAACAGTTTCTAATACAAGGATTGAGTTATCCCGGCATGCGGCGATTGAACGCGAAGGGCAGCGATTTTATTTGATTTCTCCGCGAGACGTGCCGACGGTTAATCCCTTAACCGATAAATTGCTAACGCGATAACGTTCTAATCATTCGCACGTCTATTAATTTCAATGGAAAATGCGGGTTTAATTGGACAGCGCGGTTGCCGTCGAAGTCGAGTTCCTTGTCGAAAATGCAATTAAAACCGTAAATATCGAACGATAATAACCGACACACGGGAATTCAAAGAACTGGCCCACCTGTCAACCCTTTGTGGTAGCTGTAATGTGTACTTTTTGGAAAATTCTCTTTCTCTTTGGATTTTCGATCCTATTTTTTCCCCTCGCATTTTCCATTTTATTCTCCCCCTTGAACTGTCCTGCCTTTTTGCTTTTCACTTTCTATTTTATTTTTTTCGATACTATTTTTTCCCCATAGATTTTCCATTCTATTTTTTCCTTCGAATTTTCGATATTTGTTTCCATTAGATTTTCTATTATACCTTTCTCCCTTGAACCTTCTATCTTATTATGTTTCCTTTAGATTCTTTATTCTGTTCTTTTCATTTTCTATTCCGTTTTCTTCCTTTGGACTTTCCGTGCCATTTTTTGCTTTGAATATTCTATGCTGCCTTTCTCCTTTGTTTCTCATAATTTAACTATTCTTCGGGCACTTAACATTCTCCCGTTTGTTCCCAACTGCTTTCACTGAAGGATAGTTCTAAAGCTCGTCAGTTACGATATTTTTGAAGAATATTAATATTAAAGTGTTTTTTGAAGTGGTAGTAGGAGCGTGTAGACAGTAGTTTACTTATGGAGCGACCTTCGTTTTTCTTATTTCTAATATTCTTTGCCAAGGTTTCGTAAGGGTCTTGCTACCCTAGTACGTTTATCGATTAGACCCTTACGTAGCTAGGTATACCTTTGCACTTTCTCTCCCCTTATCGCTGGACTACTTTCTCCGAGTTCACCTGTGCGTTCTTGCTTTCATTTTTCATGTCGCTTCTATATATATGTATACTTCATTCCATTCTATATTGTTTGATATATTTTTTCCCTTTTTTTCCTCGCTTCTTTTTATCAGTACCAGTCGAAAGAACTGATTTCGTTTTACTTATTTCGCAATTATTGATATAAAAATGCTAAATATCCGAAGTTATTTTAAAAGTAAATAGTTTCACATGCATACTATAGTGAACATCACTATCAAATTAAAGAAAACTGTTATCAGTTTTGCGAATACAAATTCTTATCATTTTTAGTGTTAAAAATGAGAATATTGTGGCTCGTTTCTTTCTGAAAAAATGAGGGTTGTTGATTTTTTATCTCTGTGATTATCTTCCAAAGACCAAACCATAAATAAGCTATTTATTTTAAAAGTGGTTTAACTCCATTCCAGAAAAGAAAAAGAAACCGTTTAAAACTAAGAAGATAACGTAGCATTGCAATTACTAAACCACCAACTTGGTTTTCTTGAAAAATGGCGTTAAGCCACTTTCAAAATAAACGGGTTAACGCTAACCGTACCGGCACTTTTCTTATCGTAACTAGTCGAATAACTGGCTACAAAATAGAGATAAATAAATTAGATGATATACTTTTGTTAGTGGAAACAGGAATGCAAGAAAGAGTGAAATCTGAAAAACCAATTAATACGTTGACTGCCACGAAAAACATCAGCGTTTTATATATCACTTATTCTTTCCACAGCAAAGATACAAAACAAGACTTATTAATTCTTTGATATGAAAGTTCTTATATTACCCTATTATCTAGTTACTCACGTTACGAAAGATTTGTATTCGAAATCAATTATCTTCCAAGTCATAATTATTTTCTTCTAAGTAGATTGCAGAATTTTAAATTCGGTCATTTCGGCACGGTTAGTGTTAAATGTGAAATTAATAAGTTTTAAGAAAATCAAGTTATATACTCTCTACTGGTAAATTGATATTTCTTTCGGAGAAAAATTGAGGTCGGTTGAAATATCGAATAACAATAAGAGATCGGATATCCAGGTATTAGATCAGACGAAGTAAAGAATATTATGCGTGCGAACCCGTGAGATTTGAGGAATATCGGACCGTCTCTTGATAGGTAGAGATCAGGCTGTATGGAACCCAGTGGCGAAGCTGGAGGCGGCGGTGGTCCACCATCGCTGTTGTATTGGAAAAAAGAAAGAAAGCATTATAATTGTCCATCATCTGAATAACCTGTGTAATAACTGGATTGCGGATTTTTATGCATCTATGGGAAATTTGAAAGTGCGAAATTGCACAGAAGACGTACAATGTGAAAATATATATATGTATTAATCTCCAAAGTGTAGTCATTTTTATAGCATTTGTTAGGAAAACTATTTTCTATTGTAATTTTATTTTTCTAATTACATTCTTAGAATTGTTAATTTCCATAAAGATTCGTAGTCTACTAATCACGTATTTTTATCTTATATGAAACAAATGGAATTGCAAGATTTATTTAATTAAATAAATATAAATATAGATATAGATATAGATATAGATATAGATGTAGATGTAGATGTAAATGTAGTGTAGATGTAGATATAGATACAGATATGATATAAATCTAAATATAAATAAAATTAACATATAATCAGAGATATTACTTCATTAAACTGATGAAACAGTTTTTATTATAGTAAAAATATAGTAATTACACACAGATTTTTCAAGAAACAGATACAATATCTAATAATAATAGAAATCCGTATTAGAGAAGTCTTAAAACTTCATTCCTCTGGAAAGAAATTTAATTCTCGATGAAAGGACTTTATACTTTAGCTTCACTTTTACACAAAGAAATATTCTCCTCTCGCCTGTCGTTAAGAATCGCAGGACACCCCGTGTAACACTCGGAAAGCATAAAACGACATTGTGCGCAATAAAAGATTCTACGAGAAAGAAAGGAAGTGTTATGCGTTAACCTTTGACTGCTATAGACGTTGAAACTTATACAACTATTATAAAATACTTGATATATAGCATTTTAATCATTGAACGTTAGACTACAATTGAAAAGTATGTAACATAAGAAGATTAGATGCTATGCAAGCAGATAAATAGGAATGAACGAAGATTTGGTGCGGTTTCATAGATATCTATAGCATTATATTGGCAAGCAAGTTCACAACCTGTCATTTAACACTAGAACTATCGAGCATTTAATACGATTGATATGAAATCCCTATAAAAATTGTAATTAGTACTTTTCAATCGGGTTTACGCGAAAACCCGAACGAATTTATTAATTGAGTGAAATTTTCAATTTATCGTTAATAATTTAGTAGAAAAGGTTCACCCCTTATCCTACATTTTATTTCAATTGTGCTCGATAGAAGTACTTTATAGTTAATAATTTAGTAAAATATGTCAGCAGTGATTAACACGTTCGCTACTAGCGTCACATATTTGTAACGTCCGTAATCCTACATTTTACACAATGAAAATGAAATTGATCCTATAGATATCGTAATTAGAAATTATAAACCAAAACATTACATTCAGGAACTCGATGACTCGTTTCAGTTTCATTTTTCTAATATTTCCTGTAGAAGATTTATTGGATTGAAGAAAATACAATTCAGGAGACCGTCACCGAAACAAGCGCTGGTAGCGAACGTGTTAACACATTGCGTACCGGCTAATTTTCAGAAAATTGAATTGCTGTGTCATATCGTTGTGTAATATATTTTAAATACATAATCCGCTCAACGCAACTCTAATATTTTTTTAAACGCTGTAATTAGCAAAGTTACACAGGTAAGTGTTTTTACATAAAAACAAGATTTTTCGTTACCAGTATGCAATGTGTTAAGTGGTTGCCTTGATCAGAAGCAGTTGGTAAAGCGTTAACCCTCTATGGGCCGAATTTTTCTTCATGATTACAATAAAATCTGTGCAGTGCAAAATTAATAAATATACACATATGAATACGAATTAACAATATATTCAATAGTTTCAATAATTCTATCGAACAAATATATTTTGTAACCTTCAAGTTACAATGACGTTAAACTTCCACGCCTGGGCATATAAAAGTTGAAGTTTTTTTCAACTGATTATTTAATTTCATTCACCACTTCGAGTGCAAAATGAAATAAATCAACAAGATGCCAATGTATCGATACGCGACTTCAAAGTTACATGGGCCTACAGAGGGTTAACGCTAGATTTACGGGACCCGTCAATTTGACGGACATTGAACTTTTCAAACATTATTTCGTAACAATTTAATTCACCACAATTTACCACATCGAGCGCCGGCAACGTATTGGCCACTTAACCTAAACACCGGCCTCATTCGCTTGTATCTGATCAATGAGCGGCCAAAAGAAATATTCAAAACATTATACATTTTCGTCAAGTAGTACATTTTAATTGCATATTCGTCGTATACAATTCAACGGATCCAGAAATCCGCATTATTGTGGGGCCGGCGCTCGATGTGTCAACCCTTTGCACTCGGATGTTTCTTGCTAGAAATATTTAACATTTCTTTACGAGGCGAAGACGATGTTCTTTGAGACTAATTCGAAGATCACCAGTACATTGAGGAACAAAGCTGTTTTATTCCAATGTTTCACGTATCGAGGCATTATACGAAGTTTAACATTGAATATCGCATTCTATAGTTTTACTGTGTCAAATCAAGTGGCGACCGAGAGTCACCTCACGAGTGCAAAGGGTTAAGATGATTGCTAGCGCGATCCGTTCGCGAAGATGGTTCTCACCTTCCAGATGACCGTAATGGCGGAATAAGAAGCGGCGACAGGCTTCGGCCGGCCGATCTCGCAGCTCCGTGGGTGACGCTTATCGTGGACCCGCCGCAAGAAGAGCCCACACCTGTTGCCAGAGAGGACAGCGAGCTTTGGGAGCGTGACGCATTGCTGCTGAGAAGGCTTCCGGAACAACTGGCTGGACTTCCGCAGCGTGCGTCCAGCGACGCGGCACGTCCCGGTGACGGTGATCTGTGTGTTCAAGGTTCCCGCTTGCGGTGCACTTTAACTTTTCGCGTTACACGGGCTCGGCTTAACCCCGTAATATCGAGTCAGACACGTCGCGAAGGCGTCAAATCGTATTTAGTCCTTCAACACTATTAGCAACGATAGAGTGTATGGAAATGTTGTTTCAACACATTGTACGCCGGCTAAATTTTAGCTACTAAAGACGCGAGCGTCGGTAATTATATTGATAGATTTTTAACCCTTTGCACTAGAAAGTTTTTCAATGGAAGTATTCAACATCTTCTGACGAGATATAGGTCGTATTGTTTGAAACTAATTTAACGATAATTCATAGATAAATTAAGCAACAGAGGTGTTTTATTTAAATATTTCACGTAGCAATGAGAACTTCTATTTGAAATATTAAATATTCAACTTCATAGTTTTGTTGTATCCAATCATGCGGTGGCTGAGAGTCACCTCTCGAGTGCAATTGTCTATTCCTGTTTTTTTTAAATAAAACATATTTAAAATACCACTAATACCACATTAATTTCCATGTATTCCTCTGAAGATATTGAAAGACTGCATTTACTGAGATTTTGATTGACTTATATTTTATTTTGCCAAATACCTTAACAAAATAGGTTATTTAGACAATTCCCTGAGAAACAGTTGTATCTACACAATGATTGCAAAAGTAGGAGTCAGGAATAGGTAATTCTGGCCTGTCCGATGACTTTAATGTTAAAACGAATTAGAAAGTTTCGAGAGGGAACGAAATTTACGGTGAAATTGTACGGATGGTGTCGCGAAACATCGAATTTCCGGCGCAAAGTGGAGAACTTCCGGCCTGGACGTAGCGTGAAACGAACGAATCCATTCGCACCGTGGATTCCCCCAGCTTCCCGCCAACGTAAACTGCTGTCTCGCGGTTGTTGCGATTCATTTAATTACTTTCGAACCGCACAGAATTCACGCGGAACGGAAATTCTGGCGACAAACGATCGACGCACGTGTCGATACATCGACGTTCAACGCGTTAACTGTTGAATTGTGAATAATAGAAACTTTGCGAAATCGGAGGAATTTCTATGACGAAGCGAAAAATAAAATTTGACAATTCATTACAGCCATTACTTTCTTAACAGTTTGACTGCTACGGCGGTCACCGATGACCGGAGATTTCAAATTACAACAAAATAATTATGACTTGGAAGATAATTGATTTAGAGTACAAATTTTGTATAACGTTAATAGCTAGATAATAGGGTAATATAAGAATTTTCATATCAAAGAATTAATAATTCTTGCTTTGTATCTTTGTTATAGAAGGAATAAGTGATACATAAAACACTGATGTTTTTCATGGCAGTCAACGTGTTAAAGATACTTTGTTACTCTATATTAACACGTTGACTGCCAAAGATAAATAGGAATAGTTATTAATTATTTACTACCATAAATTACGTTACAATATTATCTAGTTATTTACGTCATTGAATATTTTTATTCGACGTCAGTTGTCTTATGAATTATAATTGTTCTCAAGTCATTTCGAAGCTCTGCTTACCAGTGACTACCATGGTGGTCAACGTGATAAATACTATATAATACCTTTTTAAGTCTGATTGACCTTAATCAAATTCATGTCATATGCATCTGTATAAGTCCTTTGGAAAAAATCCTTTCTGAGCTCTCTAGTAGCCAGTAGCGATTTAACAGGCACGATTTCATAGAGCAAAATACACAGAATGAAAAAATATAACATTAAATCATTCGATTGAATTGCATTACTGTTGCAATATCAATTTTTCCCAGGAACAGCAGAATAAACATATTCGCAAAAACCTAGCGTTAACCCTTCGCACTTGTGGAATATTTCTCGTTAAAATATTCATTATTTTCTAATGAAGAATTGACGACATATTTTGCAAGCAACACGAAAAACAATCATGCATAAACTAAGGGACAGAATTATTTTATTTAAATATCGCGTACGTTGGTATAATATACAAAATGTAGTATGGAATTTTCAATTTTATAATCTTTTCGCGTTGAATTAGATGACAATTGAGTGTCGCCTCAAACTACATTTAGAAATTCGGTAAATCCTTTTACCAACCGGATACAATTAATTATTGTAAACGTGCTCGAAAATATCTCTTCGCCCCTTCTCGAGTTTCCATTTATTTGGACTGTCAGTCAATCGAATCGGATAATCGAAGTTCTACCGTATAAAACACTGCGTCACCAAATTCGACTGATTTGCCAATCAACGTGTTAAACATGAGCCATCTGTCCCACTTGGTGTTGCCGGCGTTTCTCATTGCGTTATCGCGTTAATACCGCGTCCGGTTTTATCGCGAAACCCGGGGCCGTGTTATTGGACGCGCGATCGAACAATTTGTTCGCCGTCGGCGGTCGAGTCAATCGAAGCGATTCTCGTGCGTTGAATTTCGGCTGACCGACCCCAGTGAAACGGGATTCAAGAGTTACGTACCTCCGTTCCCCTTTGATCGCAAGAAGATAATGTTCCGTGACCGGAAACGCGTTCGCTTTGAATTGTTTGACTCGCGAAGGAAGATTTTTGCGCGGAACGTTGCCTTGACATATGAAATTATCGATGAAATTAGTTATAATTGAACATTTAGTACATTAGCGAATTAGTAATTGATTACTTCGAATTTGATTGGGGAAAGATGGAATAATAAAGTTGTTCGTAGGTTTAGCTATTTGCGGACGAAGATTCTTTCGAATATAGAAAACAGATGCAAAATTGTACATCAGTTGCTTTAATAGAAAAAGGAAACAACGTGTTGACCTTTTGTTCTTCGAGTAACTAAATCATTTATTTGCAACTCAGTCTTTTGAATATGAATATTTCATTTTGCCGAAATGTCCACATTCGTTCGCAAAGGGTAATTGTTGTTTTAACCCCTTACGATTTGATTCTTAGCCATGATCGATACGACTACTTCATCGTTATTCATTTATCAGGAAGGGAACAAATATTGATGCTTATTATATGTCAACGTACACTTCAAAGGTTAACGATTGGTAATAGAAAAGTAATATTTCATTTATATTTGAAACAAATGAATAACACTTCGACTTCTCGAATTCAGTTTAAAATTTCCGTCTGACACGATATTCTAGGTCAAAAGGTTAAGGGTTGAAAAACGAATATCGTTTAAGGAATATTATTTTTAAGTAAATAGTTACTGTGATGGTTTTGAAGCTTTCCGTGTCTTTTATATTCTACACCAATACTTATATAATTATGAACATTTATTCGGTTTAATTTAATTAATTCTATTAATTCGGCAATTAACCCTTAACGTTAGGTTCAAGGAACGCGTCAACTTGTTCACACCGTTTTCTTGTTAGGAATGAATCGAGGTCCGATTTCAATCGGTATTTCACTAGTTTAATGAATGAAAAAAATTAGTATTAACAGTTAAGTTTATGCCGTTGGTATCAAATTAAATAAAATTTCTCTACCAAAACGTTCCCGATGTTCAAACTTTGATTTAAGAACCCGCACGAACTTTCTCCGGTACACAATAGAAACAAAGGAGGATTCCACATTCATCTATAATTACGTCTACTTTAAAATGTAACAATTAGAGATTGAAAACAGTTAATGATACCACTTTTGATCCTTCAAACAGTTGCGAAGAGCCAAAATAAATGATACTTGCTATTTGATACATTAGTTCTAAACGTTAAGCGATAACAGTAGTCGAACAGTTCATTTGAATTCAAGAGAATCGATTACATTACTTCTATTAATTTTAGTTCAAGATCTTCGCTACGAATCTGACACGATATTCTACGGCAACGGATTAAGGGTTAGAAACAGAATTTTTGAGAAACAAACGTCTAACCTTGAACTTCTGCTCGGTGGATAAGAAGAAGCGGTGTGCAGAGGATCGCGATGATGATGGTAGCGGCCGTCAGGTCCGAATGACCGAGTATGCGACGAACTTCGGTGACCTGGTTGTCCCTCCAAGGAACTTTGAGAGCTGACCGACGAATTTCTGGTGAATAAACGACCGGTGCTTCCGCCGCTGCTGCTACTTCCGCCAGGGTAGCTTCGGCTCTGGTGTGGCAAGCCTCCTGCTTCAATTCGAGATCAACCGGAAACGTGAATTTTTCGTGTGCGATCGTCGTTTGAACGATCGGTATTCGTCATTATTAAATTGCAGATCATTAGGAAAATTCAAATCTTTTAACGCTTTGCACTCGGACGTTTTTTATTAGAAATATTTTCACATTTTCTGATGAGATATGAAGACATATTGTGAAACTAACTCGAAGAGAAATCACGTACATTGAGGAACGAAGCTATTTTATTTAAATATTTCCCAAATTGTATTTATAATAATAAATATAATATTAAATATCAAGTTTTACAGTTGTACCGTACGAAATCAAGTGGTGAGTGAGAGTCATCTCTCGAGTGCGAAGGGTTAAAGTGTAATTAGAAATATAGAAGTGTTCAAAGTGTGCAAAGTTCAAGTTCACAAGTTAACTGATCGATTCAAAGCACCGAATTGGTTCTTATTCATCGGCAACTCCGAGCAAGGTATGCTTAAATAGGAAGCATTGATTCTGACTAACCATCAGAGAGTCCTCAAATCTCTTGATGATGCCAGCTGCAATGCTAGCGGAACGTCGGGGAACAATTCCTAATGAACACGGCTTACACCTGGAAACTTTGAACACTTCTCATAGTATTCTTGGCCGTGAAAGCCTCAAACAAATAGAAATATGGAATTACGGTGGAAAATGGTTTCTTCTAACATTGCAAAATGCAGTGTTTGGGCATTTCATGCATTTCTTCGTATTCGGTGCTTTTTTGCAAAGGTCTGCATTTTCAAATTTTTCATAAGTGTATAAAAAGGTACAATCTAGATATTCTACCGGTTTAATTAGTTATACCATTGGTTGAATCATTGCAAGCTGTTTCTTTGTATTAACAGGTGATATTGATTCTGTGTTTATATTAGTTTAATGAAAGTGACTGTTAAGGGAACAAAATAATACTGATTACTTTGTGTAAATTATCTCAAGTAAAAAAATAGTTTTTATATACTAACAGGTTATAAACATTCTAAATAATGCTCAAACAAACCAACAACAAATTACTGAGCAACATTAGCATTAAAGGGTTTGCTCTACAATTTCATAAAATAATCGTCTTCGCAACATAAAAATTCGCATAAATCGATTGAAACTTTCTAGCGTAAGATTTTTCTTCATTCCGAAACAGTTTACAATCACAGGCATTCACTTTCTCCATATCTTTCTTCCTAAATTTCATTTTTATAAATACATTTCATTCCGTTAACCCTGCTACATTCTTCGAGTCTTTTTGGTCTAATAGCATTGTTATTTTCTTATTACCGTTTTGTTCATTTAATCTTTTCCTTTCATTTTGTTAAACCCACTTTCAATTTGAGAATAGTACAAAAAAATTGTTGTCAGACTGTGCGTTCCTATGTTTTTTAAAATAACGTTTCAAGCGCATAGACAAACTGAGGATAAGTTGAGGATCACTGCTTCCACTTGAACTTTGCATATTTGATGCATTTTTACGCGGATAATTAAACTGCCACTGCGTTATAACGATCGTATTATTCCGTGTGTACCAAAGTATTCGCTCGCAGGATTACAATTTCGATCGAAGAGAGCCGAGCAAAGGGACGAGGCCACTTGTGCATTCCGTGCACGTTTCACCGCCATTTTGATGCGCGGCAACGAACGGGGATTAGTCCGAACGTAAGTAACAGGATTGGGTGAATTTTTGTCTCACGAAAGAGTACAGTGAACATTGGATAATTGGAATATCAGAGATCTCCTCGTAATTGCAACATCGTCATTTCTACCATATCCCCACCAGGTTCATTTGAACACATTATAATCTTCGATCGAAAGTTTGGAACCACTTGATATTTAACGTCACAAATTAAAAATTGTATATCTTACAAACATGTAAATAAAATGACAAAAATTATATATCTTTATATTTTACTACTTACTTAACGATAAAGTGGTTGTATCAATTATTAAAAAATAAATCATAGAAATTTCTTTTTCCTTCACTCGCGTTGTTTTCTAGTTAAAATTTTCGTTTCTTGAGGTCGATTTGATTCTATTTCTACATAATTGCAATCTCTCGGTCCCATTGATTGTTGCAATGATCCAATGTTCACTGTACATGGTTCACTAGCCATAAACACGCAGGAAATTCTTATTCGTATCATAAATTGCTTCTACATCAGAGTGACGCACAACACTAGATCTACGGGACGAATCAATTTGACTCACATTGAATTTTGTATCTTAATTGACTTACTTAATGACTTACATAAATTTAATTGACTTGATTAATGATTTAATTGTATCTTAAAACAATTTTTCTAGGAACAACAGAACATTCTAATTGTCCATTTTTAAACGTCTAATTTCCAAGATCTAAATGGACGAACAGAAATTTTTCTAAGACGATAGAATAAACTATACAGCAAATGTTCGTAAATCTAGTGTCAATGTGGTTTTTAAGGGTTACGCGAACTCTTGACCAATTACACGAAGTTCTCTATCGCGAAATGTATTCTGCTGGGTTGGTGTAATCAAGAAAGTTCTCGTAAACAAGATTTCATTTTATTATCAGTTCGCTATCTTGGTACTTCCGTAACTTTTCCTTCAATTTTGCATTCTTGCAGGTAGAATGTGAATTTGGTGCATCCATTGTATTGAAAGTTAATGATAGAAAAACTTGAATGTTATTTAAGCTGATATCGGATGAAGTTAATTTGTTTCCGAGAAAGCTTTCCAAATAATCGAACTCCGTTCGAGTTTCCCGAGAACTCTCAACGGAGAAGGTCTTACCAGATTCGACCACCACGGAAGAACACGGCTGCACGGAATGTTTTTCCTTAGCCACATTGAATTCCTGAAACAAGAAACACTTGTCAGAAGAGTCGTCGATTTCCAATGAACATTCATTGTTAACGTTATATTTGACACGTTGACTGCCACGAGAAACTTCAGAGTTTTATGTGTCGCTTATTCTTTTGTAGAGAAGATAAAAAGGAACGATTGCTTTTTTTATCACAATTATTAGGTTACACTATTATCTAGTTGTTCACGATATTGAATATTTTCATTCGACGTCAGTTATCTTATGAATTATAACTGTTCTCAAGTAATTTGGAAGGTCTGGTCATTGGTGATCATCTTGGCAGTCAACGTGTTAACACACCTTTGTATAGGGTAAATTGGGGAGATGGTACAGTTTTTTTAAAAGCATTATCACATCATAAATATTATTAACATTAAACGTAGCAACAGTTTGTGTATACTTATATTTATTGCAAATAGTCGAATAACCAGTAAAATAAAGGCAAACAGGTTAAACGATAAATGTTTCTTATTGGAAACAGAAACAAAAGGAAAGATACAAATTGAACAATTGATTAATTGGATAAGATAGGAATTGTTTTAATGTTAAATGAATGAAGAGAAACAGAGAATTTTCAATCAAATTTTAAAAAAGGTTACTTGATCGTTCGTGGTACGTTTGGTGTTAATCTAATAAAAAGAAAATACTTGTTATAAAAGTAGACACATATAAAAAGAATAGTTAAATAGATATCTGTGCAAGATTTAGTATATCGCTAAAAAGAATTGAAAATACAGATATTTAACAATCTAAACGAGATCGAGTCATCTAACCCGGAATTACTTTTTACCTATTTTTACCAAAAGGTAATTTAATCAAATTAAATTACTTAATATAATCTAATAACTACCTATTGCCAAATAAACATTATAATCATTATACGTGTCGAAAAGTCAATCAAGGAACAATGAATAAATTTGGAGAATAATTTTGAGTTAAAATATCGAAGGGTGCCAAGAATACTAGATTTTAGTCAAAATCATGTATATCGAAGGTTTGACATTTCAAAATTTTTACATTCTTCTATGCAAAAGGGATTAAAACAGAACTATTATCATAATAATGAAATAGTGAAATTTTCTCTGAACGGTTCTCCATTCTGACAGAGATGTACATGGAAACAATTTTCGCGAAAGATTGGATTCCTGCGAAAGGAAACGCGACGCAAAAGGGTTCGCCATCCAGAAGATTATATCATCCTCGGCGATCTGCGAAACAGGATTCGATTTCAAAGTTAACGTTTACGGTACGTGCCGTTTTTCAAAACAAAGGGAC